GCCTAAGGCAGGACTATAACTCACAGTCTCCTGGTGATTGGCCCAAAGTCACCCAGCAAGCTTTCATGCTTAAGATAAGACTAGAACTCATTGTCTCCTGGTGATTGGCCCAAAGTCACCCAGCCAGCTTTCATGCCTAAATCAGGACTATAACTCACAGTCTCCTAGTGATTGGCCCCAAGTCATAAATTAGGTTTTCAAGCCCAAGACAGGATTAGAATTCACCATCTCTGGGGATTGGCCCCAAGTCGTTTGGCTACCTTTCATGAGTAAGGTGGGACTAGAACTCCCAGTCTCCTGATTTCTAGACCAGCACTTTAACCACTACACAATACTGGCCTCCAACACCATTCCAGAGATTGTTGAGTGTTTAAAATACAAAGGGATCTCTTTGTCCTCAACCTTTCTACAACCCAGGGGATTTATTATTATTATTTTGGAACAGCAAAGCCCAGGAAAGGCATTCTGAATCAGAGCTTATCCCACTCTCCGCCCTGGGCTGCAACTCAGCCGAGCTTTAGAAAATGTTTGAATGCATTCCTAGCCGGACACGAGTGCAATCAGCTGTGAAACGGGACTTTTGAATTTAAACACCCATTTCTGCCTCAGCACACCCACACACAGGACTAAATTGTAGGAAAGCCAGCCGGGTAAGGGGGTGGCATGGGGGTGGGTGGGAGTGATGACAAAGGATGCCAAGAGAAGAGGCAGATTTGTTAGGAAGCAAAACTTTCTCCAAACTCCCTCGTGCTTGTAAGCTCCCATTGTTTGTCTGTTGGTTTTTCTCCCAAACTTTGTTGCAGGGGAATTTAGCAACTTGGGGGGCAGTTACTAGAGAGAAGGCGAATAAACCTGGATTGCTTGCATTTTGTTTAAAACGCAAAGAATGTGGTGGTCCATGAGAAAATTTTGGTGGTCCGCAGAAAAATTATTTGTATTTTTTATATTGCACTAAATCAGGAGTCCTCAAACTACGGCCCCTGGGTCGGATACGTGCAATGAACACTTGTGTTCCCCCTTCGGGATCTTTCTGTGTGGGTCGGGGGGGGGGCAGAAATTCTGACTTGGGGTCTGCTTCAGCCACCTGGTGGGGGCTTTGGGGGAAGGCTGGAGGGAAGCACCGCTGGTGGTGAAGAGCCGGAGGGCCTTGTTCCAGTGGGACTGCATCATAGCCTGGAACTGGCTGACCATCTCAGCCCACTGAGCCTCCAGGCACCGGCACCTGGCCTTGCACACCCGCAGGTCTTGCTAGGTGGGAAGGATGGTCGGTGTAGTCCAGTTTTTCCGCAAAGCACCCGAAGGCCCGACAAGGAATAATGGATGGAAACTGACCAAGGAGAGATTCAACCTGGAAATAAGGAGAATTTTCTGACAGAAAATGAACAAATCAACCCATGGAACAGAAGTTGCCTTCGGAAGTCCTCTCTGGAAGCTTTCAAGAAGAGACTGGACTGCCATCTGTCATAAATGGTATAGGGTCTCCTGCTTGGGTGGAGGGTTGGACTAGGTGACCCACAAGGTCCCTTCCGATTCTCTTAATCTATAATCTGTAAATTCTCAGGCCGAACCTCTTCACCACGTCAACCCTTATTCGCCACGGACATCCGAAGCCGTGTGGCACTGTCGAGAAGGTGTGCAATTGTGAGAAGGACCCGCAAAAGCCACCGTTTGGGAGGGATAGAGAGAGAAGACACAGTCGGGTGAAAGAAAGCCGAATAATTCCGAGGATGGCTCTTCTGACTTTCGCTTCTCGATGGACAAAGACTTGGCACAAATGTGCACGCAATTCTCCGTGAACTCAAAGCCATTTACATAATAAACAACGCGGCTTGGAGAAGATGTCCAAAGACAGCTTGCTAATATCATATATTCTTGGCCAGAGTTAGAAAACGCGTGGGAAAAAAACCAATTCTTACAACGCGACAAGCCTAGAGTTGTTTACAACTCTAGGAGAAACTTCACATTTTGCTTCGGAATGTACTTAAAATAACAATTCCAAGCAATCCATTTGGGCCTTATTTTTTAATCAACGGTGACGCAGCT